TCTCTAGAATTGAAAGAAATATTTAAATTTAAAGAATTTTATTTTTTTGTTGCATTATTTATGATCGCCACTGTATATATAATTAAATTGGGTTAAATTCCTATTTTAATATGCAGTAAGATATATGCCTCCTACCAAAGGTGTTTTACTGATCGTATTGTTAAAATAAAAATGGATATATTAACTATTATGATTTTTAGCAGTTTATCAGCCCTAAAAATAATCAATTCAAAAGGAGTTAGAGCATTATTATAAATCACTAAAATATGAATGATTATTGACATATGCATTTCATTTAGATTTGAAAAAAAAATGAAATTTATACCATTATCCTGATAACTTTATTCCTAAAATGGCTAATTTTTTCGCAAAAATAATCAAGTGAATCTGCCTAAAATTTTTTATAAATACTTTGCATATTTCTTTCTAACAGATTTCATGTTTTGATCTGCATTTACCTATGATAATAGAGGTTTTTTATACTGTACTATATCATGAATGAAAGAAATCCTACCTTCTTATATATTTGAAATGAGAAAAAAAAATCTAGATAGATATCCAGTTTTTCTTTTGCTCTTTTTTAGATAAAAATGTAATAAGAGAATAGTACTTTAGCCGAAGGTATTATGCATAATATAGCTTATTCATATACTGTACATACATGATCTCAGAGGGATCTAATAAATATTTCAATAAATTTTTATTAATAAAAAAAATGCATAAGGCCTCATAGCCGAATAATTATTATTATTTATTGCTTGAATATGATATGGGGTATGAGTTATGGGAATATCACTAACTTTTTTGTTTTTAGATACAATTATCGATCTGGATCTTAATATTTTTTTTTCAGAAATAGGGGTATGAATATGTTATCATTTTCATGCAAAACGCCTTCAGCAAATTATTTAGGCCTGTATTTCAATGCAGATTCTCATTTTTAATTATAACTAGCATTAATAGGTATTTCCTTGCTGTGAAACTGACTGTAAAATGTATAAAAGGATGTAGATTCACCTTTAACTTCACTAGCAATAAATCATACTAATATATCATAACATATTTGAACAATTTTTTTTATTTCACTCTGAAATTATGTTTGTATTCGCCTTGCAAAACAGCACCTATCTTTGAAGATTCCTCACTTTTTATTCTTAGTGCATTTTTCTTGATTTATATCATTAGAAACCAATTCTTCAATAATCTTTCCACACGTGATGGAAGTACTACTGCAGAAATTAAAAAGACCTTCATTGAAATGATCAATGAGCTCTCTACATATGATACTAAAATCGCCAATGAAATTATCTCACGTGTATCTGAAATTAAGGCTTCTCTCACTGCAGAACTTGGCAGAATCAATAATGAAGCTGATGCAGAGCTTAGTAGAATCAACAATGAACTTAAATAAGACTCTTAATAAAGAAATTAATACTGGGTTTGGCAAAATCATGATGCTTACTACACATCTGAGGCGCAGAAAATTTAATCGATAGTCAAAATGTGACCACAAAGGCTTGATAATATTGAAGAAGTCTGCTGTAATGATTTTGACAACATTTCATCTGCAATAATATTTCAGGTCGATTTTGATCAGTTGAGTGTGATCAGCCAATCTGGAACTTCAAATCAATCACATGAGAATAGTAACAGCTCTTCTTCTGGAAATTCTAGTACATCATCTCTAAGCGAGTTTTGACTTGAATAAGAAAGCGTGAGATACTATGAATTATGCATTTGAAACTGGAAAGAAACTGTGAAAAACTTTTATTATGGTGTAAGGAAAGGTTACTATTTTTTTTTTCTAACTTCCGAAGGTCTTCATAGCCAATTATGCAAATGTCAATCGGGACTGAAAAAATTAACTTGCTGAGATGAGCATTGCAATAGTGTAATACAAAGGTTGATTAGCCATTTTTATTTAATAATTTTTTTTTTTGCGATTATCAAGCATATCTAATGAAGTCCCAGGTTTTATAGTAACAGTGTGGGTCTTATTTGAAGGGAAAAAAAGCACTGTAGAAGTTGACCTTGATCAGACAAATTATGTTACACATAATCTTAATTTGGATCGCCTTAAGCCTGTTCTCAAAGAGGAATTTAATGAACTTCGAAATGTCGAGCGAAGCGACATTGAATTTTTTTCCTATGATGATCATAATACACTCACACCTCTTTGTATTGGGACATTACTTATAGACCTGGTCACAACATATACATCCCCGCTTGTTATACGGTATTCATTGTCAAATGCTAACAGTAAGTACACATCTTGTAATTCAATTTACTTATATACATAACCTCATTAGTCTTCCTGTCTGCAATTTTATTAAAATATAGGTTTTTACAAAGCTGTGATCATTATAGAATACCATATTCAAGTAGTTCCTGGGTTTTGCTTCGAGAAGCTGTTCAAAAAAGATGAGGAATTAGAAACCTGTGGCTTTTATTTTGTCGTTAAAATCAATTCAAAGGAAGAAACAATTGATAACGAGTTCCAATTCAATAGCTTGGTGGTTAGGACTGATTCAGATGATCGAGGCGATCGTTTTCTTGACCTTAAAATACAAGTAAAGGTAAAAAAGCGTACAGAGATTGGACCTTCAAGAAGGTTTCCAAGGATATATATAATGATGCGTTCAATTCTATCGATTCAATGCCAACACTCAAAATAGAAGAAGTTTTCAAATTAGAACCCCCACTTAATGATGATGATTTAAAACGGGTTAAAGATAACCTTCGAAAGAAAATGACCGTTTTTCACAGCGAAGTTACGACAAATGAGGCAACAGCACGGGAATTCATTTCGGTCTTCCTTTCTTTGGTGGTTAATCACGTATGCATACGCAATGATCCATCAACACGATTAAAGGTAGAATTTACACTCAATGGAAGCTGTGGGTACGGTGTTTTAGATTATGGTATCTATATACAAAAAATCCCTGTTTTAGTGACAGTAGCCAAACCACATGAAAATGAAAGGGCTGTTGCACAAACTCTAGTACAAATTCACAGTGTTGTAGAATCAATGCTGGGCAAGCGAAAACGATCTGAAACAGATCCTGAACAAACGATGTTTGGTATCGTGACAACGGGTCGTTCTTGGCGGTTCATCCGATGGATTGGGACATTAAAATCCCCAAAAGCAGAGATAACTAAAGAATACCCTTGTATTTTTGAAGGTGATATGAAAGAAGCAAAAAATGTGGCCTCCCACATCGTGCGAATTCTTCAAGCACAAGCTAAATCATTGACCAAGGAGGAACCATGTTCAAAACGATTATGCGCCGATAATAAGTCAGGATAGTTTGTTTTAATATTTTTTTTATACGTAACATCAAAATTCTACTATTAAAATTGGTAATTTTGGTAGTATTGTTTATATGAAGCCGAATCGTCTTTTAATCTCAAAGTTTCCATATACCAAATTTTAGTTTGGGTGGAAATTTCATATTTGATCTTATTACATGTACCAAATATTATATATTTTTAGTATGACTAATAAAAAAAAGCCTTGAAAACGTCGATCAATTTTGTTGCGTGGTGTTGAGTATTTCGGTGATAAACTACTAATATTTACATCGACATATATATCTTGCCTTTCAGCTGAAATATTCAGGGTTGGTGTAAATCTCGATTTTCATTTCTAATCGTTGTGGGGACTAATCAAGGATAAGGGTTGGACTCTTTGATCTTTATTGTTACCATTCTGCAATTACGTATTAATGTCTTTTTTTCGGGGATCTTTAAAATGCACCCAGGGTGTAGGCTTTTATCCTAGACCCCTATATAAATACGTGATAAACACAGTTGTGGTGCAGGATAAGAACCTACACCCCAGAACAGGATAAATTTGCCCCTTTTTTTCTAGTTATTTCTATTAATCGATCGGGACCTTATGTGATCGCGAATTCGATTCTTAGGCTGTAGACATTTACCGCAAAATATATAAAATAATTTGGGTTAGATTAGTGATTTATTTTTATCCATATCACAAGTAAAACGAATCAACCGAGACGAAATGTAGTCACGATCACATGCCCCATAACCAAATACTTCCCGAATTTGCCTCATCATATTTCCGTAATAAATGTATTTCTTTCTCGCCAATCTGATGATCGAATTTGCCTTTCAGTTGAATTTCAGGGATGACAGGTCATTATTAATTTAATCTAACCAACAGATAAGTACAAGGGGTTGATGTTCTATTTTTTTATAGGAAAAGCGGGGAATATCAATTGACCAGATTTCCACAATACGATTATGAATGTTAATTTCGATCTTTGGATCGTATATTATGTATGAGGTTAGTTCGTTAACTCCTTAATTTCATATATTAATGCTAATCAAACTTCCTTCGCGGGTTTATAAATATGAAGCGGAAAAATCTGCGTGACTGCCAAATTACTTTCTCTAGCAAGAATTTCTTAGCTACATTTCTTGTATGCATATATATATAAAAAAAACGTTATTTCTTTTTGAGAAAAAAAAAACTTATGATAGTTAACGTTAATTAATTTCAATTTATATTTCTTTATTTATTAAACTTTTTACATAAAAATTTATTTATAAATAATTACGAATATTATGTAATCGATTTAACAATTGCAGTTCCGTTATTCCCGGATCCTCTCAAAAAAAATATCCGAATATTATGTTATATATGTTGATTATAATAATACAGAAACTCCAATATAAATACAGTTATTAAATAAATAACATTTTTTTTTTTAAAAAATAAAAAAAGGATTCAATAATTTAAAAATTAATTACAAATTTACCAATATAGTTTTAGGAGAAATTTTTTCCTGCAATGATTCCAAGTTTATCAGTCATTTTACGTAATCTAGATTTTTTTATTGGAAATGCTATTTGATTGATAGCAGTCGATGTACTTGGCTCTTCACTTGATGTAATCATTTGCTCAGGTTCTTCCATAAATTGTTCAGTAACCGGTTCACTAGTATCAGCAGTTCCATGTCCTGAAAAAGAGCCAGACAATTCCGCATCGTTAACATTTTCAGCAACTTCTATAGCCGCGTTCATTCTTGCATCTGCCGCTTGTTGAATTTGTCTATCATGTTCAATTGATGCACTAACAGTTTGTTCTGATTGAGAAATTTTTTGTTGAGACTTATTCATTCCCAATAACCTTCTAATCATTCCTCCATAAGTATTTTCATCATCTTGTTTTGTTCTTTTGACCGGAAGCCATAACCATGGTAATACTCCTACTAATGATGGAGATAGATAGTTTCTCATCCCTGTATTAAGTACACCTTTATATAATGTCATCGGAGGTTGAATATAATCTGTATATAAATCTGGATCCGCATGATATAAATCATCTTCTAATACGTCTCTTGGAGAAGATTCTTTTACATTGTTATCATTCTCATTATTATTTGAGATGCTAGCCGAACTTCCTTTCGGAGCGTCAATTGTCACTACTTTTTTGCCGGAGCCCTGTGAACTTGGTCTAGACCTGACATCAATTCTATCATCAGACAATTTTTTTTGATCTTCACGTATACTTTCTAATGGTATAAATCTCGAACTTTTATCATATGCTCCATTCACAAAATAAGTGTAAACACCCGTAATAACTATAAGGGGCATTATGATTACAGCTAAATGAAAAGATTTCCTCAATGACATATATCCAATCATTAATAGTTGAAAAATGTATACGCCAATCATAATTCTTCGGAAAATCTTTGGCCATGAAAGTCCAGAAGATTCATAAGGATGGAAATATACTGAAAATAAATAAATATGAATTATATTGATATTATAAAATAGATAACTTACTTCAGAACTTAATGCAGTAAAAAAAATTAACATACCATATAATAATAAATATTTAAAACAAATATAACCAAAGAAAAAGTAAATTGTGCCAAAAAGGAGAATAATTGGCGTAAGAGAAGAATATACAAGAACAAGAATAAAAACCAACACGATAGGTGCTAATTCTTGTCCATAATCCACAAGTGGTGGAGTGCTGCCTTCGGCAAAATCTCTTGGCGTATTTGCAAAAATAACACGCATAAAGTAAGCCAAAGCAATCTCTTTAATCATGACTATACGAGATGGGAATAAACCAATTCCTTGAATAACATAATTGATAAAAAATGGGGCTACCTATAATCAGAGAATCGTTAATTTTGGAAAAAAATACGTATAAAATTTTTTTTAAAAAAAAATATGTATATATATGTGAATTACTCGAGGTAAGTTTTTCGCCAAAGTAAGTGGTATTCCTGGTATATCATTAATAATGTCTTCAAGTGCATTAAAAAAAGTACCAGCAATGGTAAAAACAAGAAGAACATTAAACAACAAGAAAAAGAAATATCTAAATGAAAATCGTAACAGTAAAATTAATTAATAAGAACTTAATCGACAAACAATAGTTTGAAATTTTTAAACATACTTTGAAAACGTTGAATATTCAATCATGCTGCGGGAATGAATTCCTTGAAGTTTAGAGAGAACTAATAAAGATTATAAATTAGATGTTAAAAAGACCAATTATTTCAATAATTTAATATATGGAGTTTAATAAACTTACATTGCATAATAATTGGAAGTAACGCGTTAAATGAGACGACAGCAAGAGGAGGTAAAGTACCCTGAATAAAATTTTTCAAGAATTCATTTTTATCTGCCAATTCTGCTAACCATGGAAAGACTTTTTTCAATGAGCTTAAACTCAACAGTGATGCAAAGAATGAAATAGGTCCAGTCCAGAAAAATACAAGGAAAACAATGCATATATTGACGACAAAATCACGAACTAGCATCTCCCGTTTGCGAATATTCAAATTATACCAAAATCTATTTTTTTTTAAAGAAAAAAATAATTGAATATAATGTAAAAAAAAAAAATAAAATAAAATAAAGAACCAATTGATTTACAACTAACACATCACGAGGTTCAGGAGCAAGTTCGGTATTGCATTGGAAAGGTTCCGGACGTATTAGTATTTGCGCAGCTATTTGCTATATGACATATGAAAAGATATAAATTTCGGAATTCTGAGATACTTGATATAACAAATGGAATTTGATTTACCGCACTAGTAATATCCTTGAAAGTCACGAAGCCCGTTGAGGTAGAAACAAAAGAGCCATATCTACCACGTTTTAATAATTGATCATAATAAATAAAAGAATCGGTATAATAACCGATTTTATCAACTTTTTCCCCAAATAATCCAAGAAATCCTGTCCTTATTGTAGGCCTTTTTGCTTTAACTTTATCAAGAACTTCTGCAGTCTTACTATTTGCAGTGGAAGGATCCTCGTTTAGAGCTTGTTCAAATGCATGGACTGCTAGATCAGGATTATAATTTGGATCCACACAAGGATTTCCCAAATACTCTACATAAACCTCTTCCAACTTTCTTAAACATGATGCTCGTTTTTCAATCGCGTGCCTAAGTTTTCGAACATGTCGATATACTACAGCACTTTCGACTGTACCTAAATTTAAATTGCTGTAAAACTCTTTTAATGCACTATCTGTTTGCAAGCTCCTTGGAATAACTGTAACCATTACAGTTCTTGCAGAAAGTGTTTCCTTCCAGTGAAGATAATATCGTTGACGTACTTCTGAGAATTCTCTATAATTATAAAATGTGAAATAATATGTTGCGAGAGAAAACACCCAAGTAAAGACTACATATGACACTAGAATTCCTTGTGATTCAGTTGGACCGTCATCGGGGAATTGAGGATCAGTTGAATTTCCGTCAAATAAGTTATTACCATCGTCATTTCCAAAAAATGGGAAGATATTGTAAATCTTTATTGGAGATAATATAATCAATGCGAAAAATCCACAGAATGCAAAGAGTTTATAAGACATTTTAAAGAATGCCAAAAGCTAATCGGAGATGTTAAATAAAAAATAAATCAGTTAGTAATTATCGAATTGACATTGATTGGAATGATATGCAAACATACCACGACAGCATCCAACCCCACAAGGTTTAACACATCTGATTCTGGGATTTTGAGCAAAGGACCAATCCATCCAAAAAATGTATTTGGTAAAGGCTTTGGCGCGAGTCTTTAAGAAAAGTCGATTAATTTATATTATTAATTTTCCGAATGTTGAATCTGTCATAATTCCTTTAATACATACCTGCCCAACCTACTTCGTGGAGCATACATAACAGACCAACGAGTTCGAAGAAAACAAAAAAGCAAAAAGAAAATGGTACCAATAGGCAACACGAAAGCGAGTTGGGTTGCCAAGAGATCCTTTTTACCTATTTATTAGTTAACTTAATAATGACTTGATTTATCTAACATAACGTTAAAATCATTGAAACTTACTCGGAGGAGTACCCTTAGTATCATTTGATTCTAACATTGACATATCAAAAATGAGTTGCCCATTATTGGTCATGTCTAGGTCCATTGTTGACAATAAAGGTACTTCCATTTCCAAATCATATAAAGTTTTATACGTCTTCTCCAATTGGGAACTTTATGTTTGTTATCAAAAAAGAAATCAAAATATTTGCATAAATAAACGAGAATCTTACTCTCTAGTTCGAGTAAATTAAAGTAATCTTACTTTTTAAGACTCCTCGGTTATGATAATCAAAAACTACTTTGCTGATTTAATTTAAATACTAAATGATCTGCAATCAAGATCGATAGAAAATTAAAATTTTATATTTACTGTATATGGTAATTTTTATTTATCACAAAGATTATACATTTGAAAATATGGTCAAATGACTCCGTTTTAAATATGTTTCGTCAACCTCGTCGCTCTAATTTACAAATTTATATAATTAATTGCATTTACAGGGCAACATAAAAAATTATTTAAAAAAATAAATAAATTCATACTCAATAGAAATCACTTCGGGGACATCATAACCATGATTCTTATTCACATAATCCGTAATTTCACTTATATGCTATAGGATAATTAAAAGGTTTTTAATTATAATCCTTGAGCATTTGTTAGAATTGTCTTTTCCCTTACCCTTTCTGAAGCTTTTATCATAAGCAATTTTTCAGCTGATTCTTCAATTTGGCCTTCCCACCCTGAATAATTATCAAATAATCATAAATGAGATACGCAAGTTATATCTGATGTAGCTTCTAATCGCATTTATACTTGCAATAAGTGGAAGTAACTTTTGGTAAAATGTTGACAAAATTAACGAGCTTCTCTTGTAAAAGACCTTTGTTAGAAATCGATTTAGAATTAAAAACTTTCAATTAAAAAAAAATTTTTTATTAAGATCGCGTACCTCGTGATAAATTTAAAGCAACTTCATTACTGGGACATGTGACATATATAATACGTGCCTCCGTGGCAGGATTTTCCATAATTGACCTTAATGAGGGGGCTCCACACGCTAAAGTTGTTGTTGAAAAAAGACAAGGTAATATAAGTGTGAGAAAAAGAGTAAAAGTGAATAAGCGTAAAATACGAAGTTTTGAAGAACCAAAGGGTATCATTTTCAAGAAATCAAAATTTTTCGATCCATCATAAATATAGAAATGATACTCACCAATCAATTTGTTCATATTTAATTTATTTATTTATTTATTTTAATTATTATTTGTGAATAAATTAAATTATTTTTTAATTATGAAAACTTTCTTTGGTCCTTCCCATTCTTCTAAAAACTCATTTTGTTCATCAATTTCTACACAATGTCGTTTATTTTCGCAATCAATTTTAACTTCACGACGGCATTATGATGCATTGGAAGTTTCTCCGGAGGCTGATCGCAAACTAATAAAAGCACAGTTTTATAAATTATCAAAAAAATATCACCCAGATTTGAATCTAGGCGATGAAACAGCCCATTCAAAATTTGTTAGAATAAATGAAGCATATTCGGTTTTATGTAATGAGCAAAGTCGAAGAGAATACGATCGATCAATACAACATCAAATTAATAATTCAAATTCTCGATCACGTCTGAAACGTTCTAATATATACTCTGGTTACTCTGGTTATAATAATGCACCTAGATCAGGATTTAATTTACATAATCGACAAAAAGTGAATTTTAATTTTCAAGAACATTTTCAAAGACATTATGGGGAAGAACTAAAACGACGAGCCAGGTCTGAAGTTCATCGAGAAAAAGAAAAACATACAGGTCAGAAACAAAGTCATAGGACTATAAGAATAAGTTTATTAATATCTATGGTTATAATCCTTGGAACTGGTGGTCAAATTTTTGTTTAATCAATTTGAAATAATTAATAATAATAATAATTGCAATATGTATATATTATAATATAAAAATAAAATTCATTCTATTTTGCTGGCCCATTTTACCAGTCGGGTATCTGGTTGAAATCGTAACCTTCATATCCTTTGTAAGCATAATACGCAAGTCTGACATGATAGGCACCTATTTTAAATTATTCAGAGGTAAAAAAATTAATCCAAGCAAGAAAGTTGAATTATTCTTTACCAACTTACCAGGTATAAATAATAATGCTCCAAGGAAAAGAAAAGGTTTTCCTCTATCAAGCCATTCCTACAATTACTTGATTTATGAATAAAGTGTTTTTTCATGAACCATCGAATATTCTGATTTAAAAAATTTCCCACCTCAGTGTCAATGATACCAGCTGTAATAAGTGATCCAAAAATAATTCCTAAAGAACCCAGCACGAATAAAAATATAGCTAAGATAATCGAATTCCATGGAACTTGATAAATTCAATTCGACAAATATTTATGAGAAAACAATATATTAAACTATCAAATTAATAATACTAAACAAATAAGCACCGTTACGTACTTGGATAAACTGGTCTCCTAAACTGTGCATCAGAAAAGCCAACGTCTTCTAACTGTATGTATCTTCTTGAATTTTTAAACCCTTTTAACCCTCGCATTTTACAATTTTATAAATAAATGTATGATTTTTAAATAAAATTGTCCAGAGTGCATGGTTTTTATCGACGGCGGAAATCACCTGTTAACCCAACCATACTATTTTCAAGGGGCGAATATGGGAGACATCGAGATCATTTCTAAAATTATCTAGGTCGATAATATTTTCCCACGATTGATGATGAATCATTATTACATCGCCTTATCACCTTCAATCGTGGAAAATATAAAAGCCTTCTTTCAACTCTTATGAAATATGAAATCATGTCCGATAACGAATTGATAAATTTATTTCAATCAATTGGCTTGTCAGAACAACGAGCCAAAGATACTGCAAAAAATAAGAAATTGGCACCTACTTTGCAAAACACGATAGTGGAAGCTGGTGTTAATGAAACCGGATGTGATAAATCTGTCGGTGCTTTGCTTTATACACTCGCCTCTACTATTACTAAAGATGCAAATTCACATTTAAGTTACATTGCACGCGCGATAATTGACAAAAGGGTAAAAACTGCGGATCAGGTTGCTGGTAAGATACTTCTCAATACCTTCCTTACGCATAATATCAAGCTTCGAATATTGAGAAGTTAATTTTTCCTTCAATGGTGAGGGTTTGAATAGCTGCTATAAAATTTGTCGAAAATGCGGGAAAAGAAATAGTTGATACCGACTTTGACAATGCATGTGGAGTTGGTAAGTTGAAAACCTTTTTTTTTATTCAGATTGTATCCGAGAAACATACTAATTATCCTTTTCTATTTAGGCATCGTGATTACACCGGAACAGATCACAAGTGCAATATCCACCTTTTTAGAGTCTAAACGGGAGATTCTTGTAAAAGATAGGTACAAATTGCTTGGATCATTGTTGGCCCAGGCGAGACAGATTCCGGAATTGAGATGGGCCAATGGTGTCGTCGTCAAAGAGGAATTGGAAAAGCAGGTTGCCGCATTGATTGGACCTAAAGATGAGAGAGATTTGCCCGTTAAGGGAAAGGCACGTATATGAGAAACAATCAATTCTAAGAAAAATTTATTTTATTAATCTTTGTTTTTTTTTACATAGAAAAAGAATAAGGATACTAAAATTGATCAGAAAAAGACGGATGTTACTGATAAAAAGGTTTCAGGTTCTAGTTCAAATAAATCTAATCAGAACAGTATCCCTAATATGTTTTTGGAAGGAGAATTAGCCAAACTACATAAACCCGGTGGTAATAAACAAATAAAACCTGAATTAATGGAACAACATTTAAAGGAAACTGGTGGTAAAGTGCTTACTCGGTTTCCCCCGGAGCCAAATGGTTTTCTGCACATTGGTCATGCAAAAGCAATAAATGTGAACTTTGGATACGCAAAAGCTCATAATGGATTTTGTTATCTCAGGTTCGGGTTACGTCATTAAAGTCGAGTTTAATGTTGAATTATTAATTTTCATTTGCATATTAATCGAAATTTCGAATAGGTACGATGACACAAACCCCGAAGGTATAATTTAATTATTCCACTTATAATGATTTCATTATTTATATATTTGGATTGATTAATTATTTCCCCCCCTTTTTTTTTTTAAAAAAAAAATTAAAGCCGAAGAAGAACATTATTTTACCTCCATTAGAGAGGCTGTGGGATGGTTAGGATTTTCTCCATGGAAGATCACTTATTCCTCAGATTATTTTGATAAACTTCATGAATTGGCGATTGAATTAATAAAACGTGACAATGCTTACGCGTGTAGTTGTACACCTGAAGAGATGCATGAAATGCGCGGTGGTGACGATGGTGGTGAACGTAAAGAGTGCGCACATCGTAATCGACCAATCGAAGAATCATTGATTGAATTTGAAAGGATGAAAGAAGGTCGTTATAAGGAAGGTGAAGTTACTATTCGTATGAAGATGGATATGCAAAGTGGAAATCCTCAATTTTGGGATTTAGTCGCATATCGAGTTCTTTATACCCCACATCATAGAACTGGTGATAAATGGTGTATTTATCCGACTTATGATTATACGCACTGCCTTTGCGATTCATTTGAAAATATCACACATTCACTTTGTACTCTCGAGTTTCGCATGTCACGTGAATCATATTACTGGCTTTGTGATGCCCTTGAAGTCTACAAGCCTGTTCAATTCGAATATAATAGGTTAGTTATGACTGTTACTATTAAATTTTTTTTTTTACAAATTTAAAAAAAAGTACTATAATGATAATTTCTTTTATAAAGGTTAAATATTAATAATACCATAATGTCGAAACGAAAAATTGCCAAACTTGTTAATGAAGGATATGTTAAAGGATGGGATGACCCAAGATTATATACTTTGCCAGCATTGCGAAGGCGTGGAGTTCCTCCTGAGGCAATTAATGGGTTTGTTCAGGATCTTGGTGTAACTACATCAAATTCTACGATTCAAGTGACACGTTTTGAAAAATATGTTCGTGATTATCTTGATGTTCACGTACCAAGGTTAATGGTAATTGTGGATCCAATCAAAATAGTCATTGAAAATTTACCTGATGAATATTTAGAAGAATTAACAGTTCCTTTCAAACCAAAAGATCCTTCCATGGGTGATGTAAGTGTAGAAGTGCACGATATTATTATTATTATTTTTTTTTTTTTAGCTAACTATATGTAATGACTAATTGTTACTGTCATTTTGTAGCATGTTGTTCCATTTAGTAAAGTAGTTTATATTGATAAATCAGATTTCCGTGAACAAGATACTCCAGATTACTTCCGACTTGCCGTTGGTAAAACGGTAGGGTTACTATATGTAAAGCATTGTATTACATGTACTGAGGTCAAGAAAGATTCGAAAGGAAATATTGAATATTTAATTTGTCGGTATGAAAATGGACCAGATATTAAGAAATCTAAAACGTATATTCAATGGGTATCAGAATCAACAAAACATCAATCACCTATTCATTTAAATGAGATTAGAATTTATAATAATCTCTTTATGTCAGAAAATCCTTCAGCACATCCTGAAGGTTTCCTAAAAGATATCAATCCCAATAGTTTGGAAATAACTACAAATTCATTAATTGAAATTGGATTACATCGGATCATTTCAAAAATCTTTGAAAAATCAGAGAAAAAAGATTTTGAAGCAGTTAGATTTCAAGCAATCCGTGTTGGATATTTTTGTATTGATAAAGATTCTTTTATTGATGGAAACAATGAAACAAAGAATAAATTAATTCTTAATAAGATAGTTTCATTAAAGGAGGATCCTAAGAAGAATTAAATTAAAATGAAATATATTTCAATCAATTACCTTTTTTTTATTGCGTTCTTACGAACATACGCGTTGTTTTGCTAATAATCAATTACAACTTAAAGCAGATAGAACAGATAATATCACGAACTTAACATTTTTCGGATTATCATATATAGAGTTTTATAATAAATAGAATTGAATTTCGGCTCATTATAAAGTAATTTGCTAACGATATAACTGCGTAAAAAAAAATATATTTCCACATTCTCGATACAACGATTTTTTTTTAAAAGCAATCATCACCTTATCTTTTAAACGCGGTTCTTTTTGTAAACTGCAATAAAATTCTCAAATTTGTTTCCTAGAAATCAACCCATATATCACATTTTCATTAATTGTTCATGAGTTATAGTTACTCGTTTACCGGCCATTATCAAATATCGAAAGTTTGATTAGAAGTAAAATTTTCTTTCACGTTTTTTATTGCACCTTCATATGAGTTCTAATGCAGGTCACTTGTTAAAAATTTTGGGCAAGTTGTATCACTGAGATACGACCAAAAACATTGAAATTAATCACAATTCACTAAATATTAAATGTCACTCTCTTTTTTCTCACCGAAAATTTTATCCAAAGTAAAATACTGTTATTTCCACAAAATAATTAGAAAACTAATTTAGAGTATATCAATCAGTCAATCAGGTATACTTAAATGTTAAGAAAAACTTTATTTTTATTAAAGAAGGTCAGAAATTTGAATTTGAAAATCAGGGTTGAAAACTGATAATATTTGATAGGTTTGGCAAATAATTTTTGTCAAAATTTGACAAGAGCTTCGATCAGTTAAATTAATTTGAATAAATCAAATTATGAATTTCTAATATATATAGGGGAAACTGCCGGGAAAAATAAAAAAAAAGTGTTAATGCCTAAAAATCATATTTGGCAAATTGATGGTCCCGACATTTCATCACGTGACTAATTGGGTTAGATCATTTTTTAAAAATTTTATTGATAATATTTTGATAATCTATTTTCAAATGTTAACCAAAACCTTTTCTTCAAGAGTCACCTTGAGATATTCATTGAACAACTTTGGTATTGA